TATATTTTTGCATTGCAAAAAGCTATTGATGACTTAGAAAATTTTCTTTTAAATAAGGAGTTTGGAGATTATTGAGACGTAATTTATTTTTTATTTACCTTGACCATATTTAAAATACAAAATTTTGTAACTTATCATAATAGTTGAGTAACGAATCAATAAATAAAACATGTAAAGTAATAGAACAAAGATCACAACTATGTGTGAGGAGGTTTTCTTTTAGCACATTCTTTTGACAAAATTTTAACGCAATCATATTTTGTTAAACAAAAAGTAAAATCAAATCTGATTAAGCCTAGAGTGGCCCACTTTATTTCACGCATAAACTTTATATAAATAAACAAAATTTTGAAAGCATAGAGAAAAACCAATTTCTGTTCTAAAAATTAGTATTGAATAACTACAACATTGAAAACACGTAATATCTATTGTAAATTACATCATAAGTTACATGACCTTATGTAAGATACAAATATATAATAGAAAGCAGACTGACTTTAGTATTAATGTTAGCCAGAAGTTCTGGCTAAAATTAATTTGTTCTGGCTCAGAACAAATTCTAAAAAATATGAATAGCTAACAACATTACGTGATGCAATCCGTTGGGTGAAAATGCGTAACAAGTATAGTAAGTAGCTGATATATTATGTAACTTACATTTTAAAAACAACTTACAGTTTTTACAGTACTAAGAGAGGTTAAAAGAAGTTAGCATCAACTGTATTGGTAATACATTTTTGAATAATTTGTTCTCTTTAAAACATTCAGTCTGAAATTTAGTCAACCCAAATTTTGAGATAATTTCAGGCATAATTTTAATCTGGTCTAAATTTTATGAATTTTATATTAGATTTGGTATAATTTTTAGATTACTGACATAATCGTATAATTAATTTTTATAAATTTGGCGGTAGAAATTGTATAAACTTGTCATTGCCGGTACTAACTCAAAGTCGGCCTAGAATAAATCTGTAACTCTAAATAAACATTGTAAAATTAAGAATAAATTCGTAATTCTAGTAAAAATAATTAATTTGCAACAGATAGGGTTGTGTTAACTTACATTGCCTAAGCAGAGACATCATTAAGATGAAAAAGAAAGACATTTTGTATTGTATAACTTATGGTAAGTTATTCTAAATACATTAAAGATACAACTATTTGTAATTTTACGATTAAGGCATTAATATTCTTAAAGTAAATATAAGAGAAGACAAATCCAGATTTATTTTTTTATTTAGTTTTTATTTTAAAAAAAAAAAATCACAATTTAGAATCATTAAATCTATTGTTTAAAAGATTCATTACATTGAAACAAGTTTTTTTAAGAAAACAACATTGCAACATTGTAAAGTATCTTGACAAAAAAAACAAAAACTATAAAATTAACAATGTGCCACAACCCTTTCTTTACGTTACTTTTCCATTCACATAACTCTCTATTTTCAAGTATTAAAGCTTCTTTTTCAACTATTAAAGCTTCTTCCCTTAACCTCAAATTTTTATTATCATCTATAAGTCATGCTATTCTAGTTTCATTTATAAAATTTGTATGCAAGGTATCTTCAGAAGGGATTTTATTATTATTTTTTTTTCTTTAGCTCTAAGTTCTTCTCGCAAATTCTGCACTTCAATCTTGATATGTTTAATGGATCCAGTTTTTTCTTTCGAGCCATCTAGTAATAACAAAAAATGTCATTAGAAATAGGAATAACAAAAAATTTTATAAATTAACGAAAGTTTTAAAGGGAAAATATCTGCCAGGGCGCGCACTTAATAAGTACATATTAATGATCGAAAATAGGAGTTGCCAACAATTAGCTCCCCAACGACCAAGAATACTCGCTCATCCAGACGCAGAAGACCGGCTTCGCCCAGCGAAGTTTGCCCAAGTGTCGATACCTTGACAGAGCTAAGCTTACAGCCAGAAAGTATACGTACTTTAATGGAATAAATTTTTATGAGAATATTTGCTTTGTAGTACTGGTTGTTATTCCTCGGTTTGCTTAAGTTTTCATAACGTGTGAAAGTGTATCATGGCAAATGCTAAGGGTGGTTGTTTTCCACGTTTTTTAATTTCCTAATGATATATAAAAAATTATCATGCAGATTGTCGATCCAACTAGAAAAGTTATTACCCGTACCCAAATTATTTTTCTTACTAGAATTACTACTGTACCTATTACTGTGCCTAGGGTTATAAATTATTGTTAAAATAATGAATTAATTCTACCCTAATTATTTTTACTAGAATTACGAATTATTTCTACTGTACCTAGGGTTGTATAAATTTGTTACCGTAATGCTGGTAGGAATTGTCATATTATTTAGCCAACTTTAAAATACTAGGCAGGGATAATCAATAGAACACTTACTTTTTATATATAACACAATGTTTTAAATAAAGTTTTAGTTTGTTAGTAGGACGTAATTTCACGATAATTAAGACAAAGTTAATATTTTTTAAGTAAATATAAGAGGAGGTAAATCCATATTTATTAATTAAAACTATATGTTTCTATAATTAATAGTATAAAAATATAATATTAAGTTGACTTTGGTAGCATATTTGACTCTGATAAGATTGATGTTGCTAACTTAAATACAATAAAAACGCTAGTTATTTAATAATTTCATTCTAAATTAATCTAATTTATAACTACGGGGTTGAATATTATAAACCATCCCACTACCAGAAATTTTTTTACTTTGTAGATCACAAGTTACATTATAAAGTTTAATATTTCTATTGATGCACGCATATGCCACCGCCGAAACGTGTTTAGAGTCAAGGGTGTATTCATATAAATCTAATGTTGTAAATTGGGATGAATCGCTAAACCACAATCGCATTCTTTTCTTAGCTGAATTCCGAGTTTTCAGGCCGATGAAAGATTTTTTAATGTAGAGTGCATCGCGAAATCTTTGATTGTATTTTGACATGAGAATTATTTTATTGAATTGATATTTTTATTAATAAATGTCAGGGATGATGCTGAAATCGGATGATACTGAAATTTGGGGACCTTAATTTGAAAATATCAACCCTACTAAAGTCCACCTATACTCTTTTATTATAAATACTAAC